TGAATACAATTTAACGATATTTTTGCGTGATATCTCTACGTAAAGGCAAAATAAAGGAATCTTTTTCCCAAAACGGGTTGCAAAAAGACTAAAATTAATTCAGAAGAGATTATTTTCGTGACGTTTGTTCGTATGTATGTATGTATGTATATATCTCGCATAACTCAAAAATGAGTAGACTCAGAACGTTGAAATTTTGTTTATAAGACTGCTATGACATGTAGATGTACACCTCCCATTTTATTTGCAATCGGCCGCAAAGAAAGTATATATATATTATATATATATCAACTCTGTTACTCAGCTGTTTTATTCTTTGTTAATTGCGCATTTTGTGCTTTAAAAAGGTGTGAATTATGTTGTTCTTTATCTTCCGGATATAGTTTTTAAGCCTTTCGTAAATCTGAGTGCAATGTTTGTAGAATTATCAGCAATTTAATAGTTGTTTAAGTGCTGCTAAGCCTAATTATGTTCACCATACCGGCCATATTTGTCTACATTTGAAATCTGGCAGAATGGTGGATTTATTGCCAATCTAGAGCAACTAAGATTCGAAACAACAAAGATAATGTCTTTTTTATTGCGAATTAAATTATGCTGTTTAAGATTTACATCGTAATTTTTAACATCACGAACTGAGAACTGAATTAATGTAATGAGAATTACGGAATCGTCTGTGAAAAACTGTTTCTTTTTTTGTTTGTTTAATTTGCTTTATGCATTTCTAAGATTTATTATAGTATTTGAATACAATGTGCCTCAACGATTAGATAATTCCTCAGATGATATAAATCGTATGCATTCTGAGTTATGAATGAAATGTAACGCTGTTAAGTGAACCTAGAGCGAGAGTGTAGCTATGGTAAACAAATATAGTGAATTTTAAAGAGTGCATTAACTCTATGGCGGTTTATGCGCTATCGACGAAGTAGATTTAATTCAATCCAATAAGTTTAACTGAAATAAAAAAAAATGCGTATAATTTAATATTACGTACAAGGAATTCATGTAATGTACAGATCAAATTTTTTCGTTTTACTTCAATTAAAATGCTCCTTGAGTAACGCTGTTAATACATTCAATTTCCGAACCAAAATATTTAAAGAGTTTTCCTCATCCTCTGAATGACATTTACTGAGAAAGCTAAAAGACACTTTAGACAAGCAATACAAGAGCTAGATATTAGTGGGTTTCCTTATTACTCGGGACTTATTATTTCATCAGCCATGATTTTTACGTACCACTCCGAGCCTTTATGCGAGTTAATTCTTGCAGGAAATATTGGTATTAATTTCCGCTTGGGATGTATAACTGTTCCCTTAACTTTATGACCGCTTATTCTGCGATTTTAACGGGCAACATCAATGTAACAAAAGTTGCTTAAGTAGAGACTTTCAACCTGGCATGCAATTTTCCCCTGTATTTAAAAGTACATCCAGCTTTTACCCCATTCAATCAATGATAACGTGCACTGGAGGAAAAAAAAAAAAAAAAAAAAAAAAAAAAAAAAAAACATTTTTATATCTCCCGTTCTACTGGGCCGATTGACGAAATTCAAATTGCGTTTTTTCATGTCTGGAAATTGCGACTTAGGATATAATTTATATATAGCATTGTTCTAATGTAGGTAGGTACTTTGACACAAAATCGGAATTTTTCTGAAATGACATACCAATTGTTTTTCCAAATTTGTGTTCTACGACTCAAATTATGCCAAACTGCCAAGTTTTGTAAAAATCGCACGAGTAGTTTTTAAAATCTTAGCTCCGCAATGTTAATTTAATTTGGTAAATATTTCTTAATCTCTTTTTTTTTTATTAAACTTACTTGATTCCTTTTCCAGAATTCGAAATTTAAGATTATTCCAAATATAATTCGCACATTTTTTATGATTTGGTTTCAAAATTTGTATATTTAAATACTTTTTTTTTTAAATTTTCAGAAACATTTTTGTATTATAACCTAAAAAAAATTTAACATAATCTTAAAGTAGATGCATTTCTAAGTGTACCTGCAAAAAATTAGAGTTTTTTTATTGAACACTTCCGAAGATATACGTGAATTTACATACTGGCGAGTTTTAAAATTTGGCATATTTGTTATAAGCGATAATAACGCAAATGTGGTTTACGCACTTTGTTAAAGTTTTTTGAAAGTAATGAACTATGATTTCCCCCCCCCGGCTCGTATAGAATGAAAAAATGAAAGGAGAAAAGGTTACTATAAAGTTCGTCGAGTGAATTATTCTTGACTCAAACTAAAAAATGCGCCAAGATAAATTCTGAAATTTCTTCATAAATTTCTCACTACAAATAACAAAATTTAATATTCATGCATAATTTCATTCGTTGAATCGAAATCTGGAAACAACATTGGCATGCAATTTCAGATGCGTCAAAATACCTATATTGAGAACAATGCTATGTACAATTCTGATATAATATATATCCTAAGTCTCGCTTTCAAAACATGAAAAACGCATTTTGAATTTCGTCAATCGGCCCAGCAGCACGAGAGATATAGAACTGTCCCCCTTTTTTTTTTCGGAGTGCACATTCCATATACTACCGGTTTGTCATTTGGCACCTCGGCCATTTCTCTGCATTCTAATACAATGCATAAGTATTCTGTAGAATCCCTGTTTTTATGAATTGCTGGTAGCATATGCAACCAATGTACAAAAGTATGTTGAACATTATCTGTATCTGCCTAATAATTGTCTGTACACTGCATCATTTCCTAGCATTGCAGTAAATGAAACAAAATAGAAAATGCATAACTTTAATCCATCACCTTAGGTTGCTGTTCATATTTCTGGCCTAATAATGAAAAAACAGATGTTTATGATCAAAATTGATTTTACTCTTTTTTAAAATATTTTCCATGAAGATAAATACACTTCTGCATGCGTTTGAACCAATTTTCGAAGACTTTTCCCGCTCCAAATGAGGTATCTCCAAAACACGTGTTTTGAATCCATCAACCGTTTCTTCGGGTGTCGCAATTCGCTGGCCACGTAATTTATTTTTCATTTGAAGGATTAAAAAAACCGTCATTGGAGTTCCAAATCCGGGCTATACGACAGAAAAGCCATCACTTCAATGTTTTGGTAGGTCAAAAATTCCCTTGTTTCGAGCCCATGTGTGAGGGCTCGCACTTGTCAGGATACAGAATGGTTCGCCTATTCTTTTGCTTTTTTCGAATTTCTGGTATGATTTCTGGCAAACAAATGGTCGTGTACCATTCAGAATTGGCCCTTGTGAGTTGTTCTAATGCCACTGTCACCACATGACCGTTAATTGAAGAAGAAATAGGCAACAATTTGCTTCGAGGTTCTTCCGTGAAAACATTTGTTGGGCTTGGCTCGTCTTGGAAGACCCACACAGTCGACTGCTGTTTTGTTTCGAGCTCATATGCATAGATCCATGACTCATCACCTCTGTAAATGTCATACACAGCAGTTTATGTACTTTGAATTTATTGTTCAAACATTTACTTGCACCAATCGACAAGAGGCTTCTTTTGATCGCTTGTCAGATTATGCGGAATCCAACGCAAACAAATCTTTTTTATAAGTCAAATATTCCTGGATGATTCTAAATTACTTTTACAAATTAAGAGGAGGAATAGTGCTCATCCAGATGAGCAATAATTATCATAGAACATATTGTCGCATTCCACTCTGAGAGGCAGAAAAGAAGAATATTAGAATTCCAATCTGAACTTACAACAGTGTTGGGAGAGCGAATGAACGAGACCAAATGTTGCACAATCAGTTTAGTGAGAAACTCACAGAAAGTGCACAAAACGGATAAAACCGAAACTTTGGCGTTCCAGTATTAATTTCAGCTCAGACTTTGATGAAAAACACTCAAATGCACAACAATGCACTTTGGTTGGCAAGGTCTCAACCTCGCAAGCGATTGCAACAAGTTAATTATGTAATCAAGGGCTGAATATTGTCAACTAATTCCAAAGTCCGCTGCATGCTGAGATTAGCATGAAAAGCTCATGCTGCGTTCCGGCTTATCAGAACTTCGTATCCTACAGAAGGGAGTTTCAAGTAGATTGAGCGCAGCAGAGTAAGTCCAGAAAGACAGGATGGAAGATGGCCAAGAGAAAAACAACTGTTACCTTGATACTTGATATCAAGGTAGTTTTTCCCCCTAATAGATAATTTCCCCCTAATAATTTAGATAATTATCTTGTTCCCATCGTTTGCGAGGTTGAGACCTTGTCAATCAAAGATGTACATTTGGGCTTTAGTCAAGTCTCAGCTCGAATTAACACTCGAAGGCCAAGTTTTCGGTTTTGTCCACTCTCTGTGAGTTTGTCACTAAACTGATTGTGCAACATTTGGTCTCGTTCATTCGCTGTTGTAAGTTCAGATTGGAATTCTAATATTCTTCTTTTCTGCTTCTGAGAGTGGAATGCGACCCTACGTTCTATGGTAATTATTGCTCATCTGGATGAGTACTATCACCCCTCTTAATTTGTAAAAGTATGTCACATGACGATCTTGCTTTATCAGTTCTTGCACAGCATCGATATTTTCTGGCACAACACCAATTTTGGACGACCTTCCCGGAATTCGTCCTGAAGCGAATGTCGACCCCGATTGAATTCGTTACACCAGTTTTTTTACAGTGCTGTAGGATGATGTTGTATGAAGAATTAAGTTCATCGAAGCACTCTTGTCTTCATAATCCACTCGGAAAGATATGGAAAATAATTATACGGTAATGTACACGAGTGATTTCATTTTTTACCAGAGATGAATTTTTCATTTATTGTAAACAACACAAATCACGCTAAAATGGCAAAATGTTCTGAAGACGTTACGGTTAAAAATACCAAACTTTCGATTGGAATCATCTACGGTCACCTAGCAACACTTACTGTTGCCAAGGCCAGAAATAGAAATAGCAACCTTCATATGAACAAACTTATAACAGATTTAAAAATGCAAACTTGGAAAATTTAGTATGAATGGCACTTACGACAATCTGCCTTTCTTCTCATTTTGGAGGAACTGCCAGACGGTGGTGTCTATGATCATGAGCGGATTCTCGATGAGATGGACAACACCATTCTTGACAGGGATGTTTGGTTTCAGTATCTTTGCCATCACCACTCCTTTCTTGTGCCTATAGTCACTGTGGGTGGTGCTACTCTGAGCATATACTGGAAGTAAAAGGTGTGGATTGAATATAGATATAGGTAGAAGTACAGCAGACAGCAATTATGTACCAAACGGTGAAGCAGGTGTTGTCTTCATATACTACCTATGCAGAAATATTACCACCCCACAAAGTCCCAGAGGATCTCTAGAGCCCGCAGAGAATAAACCCTTTATTCGTTCTACGCTGCCAGCCCTGAAATAGCCTGCTACTCATTTGGAATCCCATCCACGTGGTTTGTTTGGTACCTTGACGTAACATCACGTATATGTAGCATTGTACACATGATATTGTTACATTATTATCTGGTTCAAAATTTGCTTGCATTAATATTTATATACTGAATCTAACACGAAATGTCAGGAGCATAAATAAAGTAAAAGCCTATAATCTAACGTTTTGAGATCTTTGAAAGCACACACAGATTTTCAATATGAAACATGTAACTGAAAAATATACATTGATTTTTTTTAACAATGAGAATTCTTTAATCCCACAAATACGTGACGTCCATAGAAACGCGTTTGTCCTTTAAAGATTTTGTTTTAATATTTATTATTCAGAAACACATATATTTTTCAAGTTTTACGACTCTAGCTTTAATGTTGAAATGACGACTTTTCTAAGAGTTTCGAACAATTTCCCTACGTTACGATTTCCAAGAATCGTAGCGGCATTTCAGTACACTCCTAGATACTTATTTATATTTTACTTTAAAGTAAAAGTTTCATTTATGATTATAATTAAATAATATAGATTTAAAGGGTTTTATTCTTTGATTATATACACTCCTTTTAGGTTGCACTGATTTTTAATGGCGAAATGATTTTATGGTGATATATATATTTTCTTTCATAGTTATGCGGTACAAAATTTGAAAAGTTTGAGAAACCTTGCTGTAGACAGAATTCCATAACCCTAGATGGCAACTAGGATGATCCGATGCATTGCGCCTGCGCGAGCAGAAATGCAGTGTGTTTGACGTTGGTTCTCTGAGAGAGAGTTTGGAGCTATAGTGTGAAGAGTTTCGTCAGCCGAGGTCAGGTATGAAGAATTCCATCATAGCCGGATTTTGTTGTCTCTGAACATGTCACCATCTCGGAATTCTATTAATGTTTCTAAAGGAAATCTATTAATCTTTCTAAAGGAGTTCAAATTAAAATTTATGTCTGTGTCTTCATGTGTTGCGATAGTGATGTAAATAAAAGATTTATGCATGACTAAAGCTATTTTCCTCGCGTCTGGGCTATCCACGACGGCACAACTTCTACGTGGAGTCATGTTAATTAGTTAATTGGCTATACGTTGAAAGCTGTTTTTGTACTTTCCTTTTTTGTGAGATTTTTAGCACAAAGGGGCTTAGTCCCTGAGGGACTATTGTTTTCATTTTGCGATTTTGCTTCGAATCACTCTGAATGTCTGTGTCTTCATGTGTTGCGATAGTGATGTAAATAAAAGATTTATGCATGACTAAAGCTATTTTCCTCGCGTCTGGGCTATCCACGACGGCACAACTTCTACGTGGAGTCATGTTAATTAGTTAATTGGCTATATGTTGAAAGCTGTTTTTGTACTTTCCTTTTTTGTGAGATTTTTAGCACAAAGGGGCTTAGTCCCTGAGGGACTATTGTTTTCATTTTGCGATTTTGCTTCGAATCACTCTGAATGTCCGTTTCACTTTTCAAATTGTTGTTGAAAAATCTGCATAAAGGTATGTATCTCGCATTGGGATAAAGCCATTCAATTACATAGAGTCATTCAATTTTGAATGACGTAATCCTACTGCGAATATGGGCATCTGGAAGCTCAAATTTGAAATGTGGAATCTCTTTTATTATCGATTTCATATTTTGGGAAACTTTAACGAATCTTTGATTAACAAACTCACGGACTTCACAGCGAGCACGTCAGTGTTGTAGAGAAAGAGTATTTTTATCTCCAGCGCGTGAGACCGCGTATCGGAAATTCTAAGGATAGGTTCAATTTAAAATCATTTTGCCATATTGTTCTTGAACTGAATTTTATGGGTTAAGTGCGATGAACAGGGCATTTAATAAATAAAATAACCCACAAAATGTTAAAAAAAAACGCCACTTTAGACCTAATTTAAAATCTGAAACCTTTCCCCCCTTTTATTATTTTAAAATTAATTTGCGATATTGCTGTTGAACTGAATTTTATAGTTTGAGTACGTATCAACATGATATTTAGTAAATAAAGGCAACACGCAAAACATTAAAAAACGCCCTTTTGGACGTAATTTAAAATCTGAAATCTTTCAGACTTTTTTTTTATATTTCATTTTATTTTATTTTATTATTTACTTATTTTTTAGTTTGCGGTAGAAATTGTAATATAATTTTACGATTCTATAAATTAGAATGTCATTTTCTTGCAATCTATGCCAGTTCTAAAAGAACTTCAAAATTCCAAGAGGAGCTTCGATCTTGTATATCTGGCTACCGAGACATATACAAGTGTCTAATGAAACAGCATTCGTTGCAAAACCTGATCACCGACTACATGTTAACTGGAAAAAAGACATCTTCAAACGAGTGCGAGGTAATATCTTCGAGTAAAGAAGGCGATTTCGAACCAGTTTACCACAAGAAAGTTTGCATAGTGTCAGACTGCGAAGGATAATGGCTATACATTTTGTAAAGTTTTCTATGAGTGAAATAAGCACATATGTAAATAAAATACTTAAAAATGTTCGCATGTATATTTTCTTAATCAGACTCTAAGAGGTTTGCTGAGATTCCAAGCAGCTGTAGAGTCTTGATTTCGTTTAAAAAAGCAATTCCTAGTTATTTTGTAAGATTTTGAGTTATTTTCTATGTGAGACCTTTTTTATACGATCAGTATTCACCGCATAAATAAAATACTTTTTAGCTGTGTTGCGAAAACTATTTTTTATACCTACTCGTGAAGCTTTGTGGGATTTTCTTTACGCGGTCCCTATCCCAACGCACAAAAAGTGAACTTATGAGTGTACTTATGCAAAAAAACAATTTATGCTAAAATATTTGTATTTATTAGTGAGATGCATCTTAGAAAAGTAACGTAAGGCTAGAAATGTACGCAGCTTTTCTTTGTGCGATCACAAGTTAATTGACTATACTTCCGCAGAAACTCAATATTAGTTAAATTAAAAGATTCCTAATTATGTGCAAGAAACTTCTTAAAAGCTTGTAGGGTTCCTCAATTTTCTTGTCTAAAATGAATGTTGAAAAACATAGTGCACTGTTTAGACACTTATGGCTGAGTTCGTATAACTAAAGACGTAGATCCAAGAAGAGTTAAACTACCCTTTATTTCACTCAACTAAGAATAACAGTCGGCAGCTTTCTCGGGCTTACAACAATGTCTCCATTCGGACTTAAACTCAGAATAAAAAATGAGAACTATAACTAACTAAGATAGACTTAGATATTACAACTTAAGTTAAACACAATTATCTAATGTAGATGGCCCTAAACTAGCCGGCAAATATCAAAAGGCACGTGATAATACGGCCGAGCGTAACAGAGGGATTTAGCCCGAAGGCAAACACGCGTTACGAAGGATTGCTAGCTCTCTCTCACGGAGTAAGCTGAACCTTCCTTAAATAATTCTTCCAACTCATTTGCATTCAACGCGATTCTGGTGAACCTCATTCTACTAGGGAGTTGTAAGTAGAAACAAGAATTGATAGGAAAGGGTTTCAAAACTTAAAAATAGCTGTAATAAAATTAAAATATACCTTACAAGCTTTTTAGGATACTATTTGAAATAGAAATCAGTCTATGTTGTGTTTTAAATATAATCAGTCTGCAGGTTGTACATTCAGACAAGGTGTATGGATATATTTAGACCAGATTTTGTTTGCAAATTTAATACTTAGTAGTTAACTCAAATGCTCAAATAATTTATTATTAATGTACAAAGTGTACAAATTAATTTTTAATGTAATAAATCAAGTGCAAGTAAATTGGGCTGATTATAATGCTTGGATGATTACTTTTGAATAATTTGAAAGCACAACTGCTAGAATTTCTTTTCATAAACCTTCTCGTAAATATTGAATTACTGAAGTTTCAGATCATATTTTACGTTTCTGTATACTGTCTGAAACTAATTGCACATAAAACGCATTTTGAATAAATATTCTGAGATTGTACTCGCCGCAATTATCAACACAAGTGTTATTACATAAACTTAGTTATCCGAACTCCGACTATCCGAATGGCTTTAAGAATTTTAGAACTTTGAAGAATCAAATAAAGAAGAGAAGAAAAAGGGAAAAAAGAAGCTCAAGAAAAAGGAAAGGGAAGAGACAAGAGAAGCTGAGGATGACGTGTCCCTTGAGGAATTAAGAAACATTCTTTTGAAAATTCCTGGATGTTCAGAAGTTAGTGCTGAGGATACCATCAGACCCTGGGTTTCAAATTCTAAATGGTGACGAATTTATTGAAAGTGTCGAGCAAGAAGCTGACCTCAGTGTCGAAGCTGAATCAGACATGGGACCAATAGCATGTGAAGAGTTTACCGACCTTGAAACTGTGTTGAAGTGGATGTAGTGTCAGCCCGAGTGTGACCACATTCAACTTTTCATCGTCAAGCGGAAGTGCGACTTGGCTGCCCGAAAACGGATGAAGACAGTCAAACAGCTTCCTTTGACCGAGATGTTCAGCAAGCAATGACTTTTAGTACTTGTAAGTACCGTACAGTATGCTATATAACATATACGTAAGAGTGTATGTGTTGCCTTTTAATTTTAATTAATTAAAACCTCTTTTTCTTTAAAAATAGGTTTTGTCTCCCATTTTCAACATACAGTACATACAGTAAGTTTTACTTTTACTTTTCTAACAATAGTTCGTTAACTTCCTTTTTCTAACTTTTCTGTAGTTTTAATTTACAATTTAAAAAATCAAAAATTGATTTTTCTAGCTAATAAAACATTTTGACCAATTTTTAAGAATTTTTGAGTTTATTATTTTTTAAAGAATAATTTTTTTAAAAATTTAATTAAAGTTTATAACTGTTATGATGTTCTTTATTCCCCTTTTTGTTTTAAAAGAGTAAAAATTTGCTTTAATTTCTCTCTATTGATATTATAATCTTTCTTTGTCCTATTTTTAAAAATTTTCATTGAACTATTTAAAAGTTTTTCTTTTGGCTTCAAATTCCATCTTATGGTTCAAATTTTTGCCTTTTGAGCGATAACTTTCTCGCCAAGGTTTCTGCGTTAGTCTCATGAAAGTGCTCAAGGTGTTTAATTACTTATTGTGAGTTTCAATTAAGTTTTTTCATCTAAATTTATAATTTCACTAAAGTTTAAAATATGTGATTTATATTTAAAGGTAAAATTTTGATTTATTTTTTCAATGAAGTATATTAACTATTCACTTTGGGTTTCAATTCTTTAAACAAAATAGTATTCTCTTCATTTAAAATACAAATTCTAATTGATTTTTTTCATTGCTTTGGGAAAGAGCCAGAATTTTCGTGTGAAATATTATAATTAAAATACATTGAAATGTTTCATTAGCTAATTCTAGATGCAGGAAAGCAAAGATTTTTGTAGAAGAGAGATTTCAGTTGATTTCAGTGTTCCTTTCCCCTTATGAAGTGGTACTGAAGTTGATTGAATTACACTTTTGATTTGTTCTTTTTACTTTCAATTTTAGGGAATTTTTTTGAATTGGGGTATTGTTTGTTTAAAAGTGTTGTTTTTTATATTTATTAAATTTTATGTTGCATTTATAAGATTATTTGAAATTTATTAATTATGAATTTTAAAATTTTCGTCTTTGTGAAACATTAGTTTTAAATTTCGCACTTTATGTCAGTAATTAATTAAAGTGTACGTAGACCCTTTCTTTGGAAAAAAACCAATTATTCGAATTTTTGATTGTCCGAATGGGGTACGGTCCAAATTGATTCAGATAATTGGAGTTCTACTATAAATTTTTTTTCAGTGGCTATTTAATAGCAAAATGTTCATGTATGGGAAACTTTTATACCAAATTCATATGAATATCGCCTCTGAAAGCAACATTTTACAAGTATTAAAAATGCGCCATGGGGAATAAATCTAATAACGTATTCAGACTTATACTCACACGTGTATGAATTCCCAATAGCATTGGACTCATTGATGATAGAAAGCTCGACCTGAATGTCATCTCCATATGCCTCACTCTGGTACTTATCGAGGGTAGCCAATCGGGTGAACAGCACGTTCCTTGGTATCACGTGTCCTCGAATAACCTAAAAGACACAGGATGGTTACAATATTATAAACTTTGGTTTCTAACTCCTATTAATAAGCTACTTGTTAACTGAAATGAAAACATGAACTCAGGTTGAAACTGGAAACTGCTTTGTAATTTTGAAGTAATAAATTCATCAATCGCGAATCCCAACAACTATATGGTAGAGGAATATACAATATATGTATACAAATAAAGTTCAATAATAATACTGTTACGGTTTCTGCATTTAAATAGCTATTTTAGTAGAATTATAATTAAAATGTTTTTATATCCCCGTGCAATGCAGCACGAGACATATTTTAAGAGAAAGCTATGCCGGAAAAGTTAAAATACAGGACCATGCACATTTAACATTAAAAAAAGAATCTGAAAGGATTCAGATTTTAAATTACGTCCAAGAGGGGCGTTTATTTAACGCTTTGTGTGCTACCTTTATTTATTAAATATCATGTTCTTCGCACTTAAACCATAAAATTCAGTTCAACAATAATATCGCAAAATAATTTTAAAATGAGCCTATCTTTAGAATTTTTGATCCACAGTCCCGCGCGCTAGAGATAAAAAGGTCTTTTTCCCCCCTAGAGTGTTGCCATTGCTCGCTTTTAAACCTTTGAATATGTTAGTCAAAAATTCGTCAAGTTTCAGAAAATATGAAATCAATAATAAAATAAATATCAAATTTGGGCTTTCAAATGCCCATATTTGCATTAGGATAAAGTCATTCAAAATTTGATGGCTCTAGTTACCGTTATTTTATCATAATGCAAGAAACATACATGCAAGTTTTTCATTATTTAACTTCTTCAAATATAATATAGGGCGATAGAATTTGGTGGCAACGATTTTAAAAGTGATACAACCTTTTAAAGTTTTCAACGCAAAATCGCAAAACGAAAACAATAGTCCTTCAGGGACGAAGCCCCTTTTGGAATAATAAATAAACACCTCGTAATTTATAGTTAAACAGGATAAATGTAATTGACTACCGTGACTGTAATTCTACACCTTTGCTTTCCAGAAATCTCGAGAAAACGAAAATTACCAGAATTTTCTGGCGATCGATTAGAAAGCTTTAAAAAGCTGAAGGGAGACACCTGAGTTGTTGTTTAGTTAGCTGTGGTTATTGTTCATCGTATCTTTCTTTGCGCTTTGAATTGCGTTCTATTTAACTTTTAAATATAGCTATTGATTATATTCCGTGATATTGTGATACTGTAGGAATATCTTTGACGAAAAATCCAAAACTACCTGGTAATGTATGAAACAATTCATATTTTACATATATCCTAAACATTCTATAGCATGCAAAATGACAAATCGGTAAAACATGAAATGTATTTCCGATTCGTTTCGAAGAACCGAAGCTACTTACCATAATTTATTAAATGATGTAAAATGTCAAAATGACTGGTAAGAAAAAAAAACCATTGGACTACTGGCAGCCGAATCGCTAGGATGGGATGTTTGCGGAAAAAAAGTACAGTCATTTATCCTGTTAAAGAAAGTACTATTATGTCTATTAAAGGAAGTAATACTATGTCAGTACTACAGTACTGAAGTAGTGACAGAACGTTGAAAGAACTTTCAAGCAAATAGAAAAACGTTACACGTAATGATATTAAACTGTACAACCCACCTTTGTGAGTCCTGCCAGAAACAAAAAGGCATTAAAAAGGGCATTGTTATGAAACTAATGATTGTTTCTGAACTTAATTTTCGTTGGCGAGTAAATCTTACCGATTTCCAGTCTCAGACATGAGAGAGAAAGTACAAATTTATTATGTTCTATCCAGATGATATCAATATTTTTTTGCTTATTTCGAGTAACAGTTTTTTAGTGGCACTCTTTCATTAACTTTTCAAAAATAACATTAGCTCTCAGAAGCTGGCTTGAGAGATGTGGAAAGGCCGAAAGCTGATCGAAGATGTGGTTCCATCTATTGAATGTAAGAAGATCATCATTAAGTATTAGAAGCTGCCGTACTGAAATCCAGCTTTCCGTATCAAAGAGTTGGTGAAAAATTATCATTATTCTTAAAGTTCAAATCGAAAAGCTTTTCCCTATCAAAAGAACCCTGGTTCGAATACTAACACACATAGAAGCACACTCCCCCCCCCAAATGAGACAGCTCTATATCTCCCGTTCTACTGGGCCGATTGACGAAATTGAACTTGCGTTTTTCATGTCCCGAAAGCCCGACTTAGGATATGTATTAGATTTATATCCAGCATTGTTCTAATATAAGTATTTTGACAAAAAATCGGGCATTTTCTGAAATAACATACCAATTTTTTTCCATATTTCTATTCTACGACTCAAATTACGCCAAACTACCAAGTTTTGTAAAAATCGCATGAGTAGTTTTTAAAAATTGCTCTCCAAATTTTAGCTCTTCAATGTTAATTGAGTTTGGTATATATTTATTAATCTTTCTTTTTTTTTTTATTAAACTTATTTGATTTTCTTCCTTGCACATTTCGAAAATTAGGTTCATTCCAAATAAAAATTTCACCCAATTTTTATGATTTATTTTTTAAATTTGTATTTTTAAATAATTTTTATAAATTTAAAAAAAAATTTGAATTGTCATCTATAAAATTTTTACCATCATCTTAAAGTAGACGTATTTCTAAGCATACTTGCAAAAAATTAGTTTTTTATTTAGAATTTCCGAAGATATACGCGAAGATATTAGCGCGTTTTGAAATTTGGCATATTTGTTGAAAGCGATAAAACATCAGATGTGGTTTACGCACTTTGTTAAAATTATTTTAAAGTAGAAACAATGTCACTTTTTCTCCGCTCATCCACAATGTAAAAAGGTAGGAATGAGGTGCCTTTTTTTTCCGCTCCGGCATAATGGAAGGGAAAGGAAAGTTAGTTGCCACATATTAGGAAGATCGCCAAGTGAATTATTCTTGGCGCAAACTGAAAAAATTCCGCCAAGATAAATTTTTGAATTTCTCCGTAAATTTCGCATCAAATTTTGCAAAATTTAATATCTAGGCATAATCGAAATATATGGAAAAAAATTGGTATGTCATTTCAGAAAAATCCGATTTTACGAAAGTATCCAAAATACCTACGTTAGATCGGATAATCTAATATATATCCTATGCATAAATCTAATATATATCCTAAGTCGCGCTTTCGAGACATGAAAAACGCAATTTGAATTTTGTCAATCGGCCCAGTAGAAGGGAATACATAGAACTGTCCCCTTTTTTTTGCGCAGTGTAGATAAATGTAATAACCTAAGTAATAATGATCAATAAATGAAAACACTGCAGTGGTTAATTACCCATTTGTCCACACTCTGATGTCTGTTGAAACTGTGGCCTTGTCCTGCCGCTACAGGCAAGAAGAAAGTGTGATTTCCTTCTCTCTTGAATAATTCTTCCAACTGCTCTTGCTTCACTCTGCTGTTGAACGCACTGTGAGAAAGAAAAAAGAAATTAAACTATTTTTAATGCATTAGCCATGATTTAATGCAGCACACAGTACAAGTTATTCTCATAGTTTAGGAAGGAAACTAAACAGCACTCAATTTCTCGGAAATGGGACATTATTTTGTTTAGAGCCCTTAGCGGCTTTGCAATTTTGTTCATTAATTGTTGCAGGGTACTTCTGTACACAGAAGTTTGTGTCAAAGTCTTGCAGACCCTACTACACTGATAGCAAATTATCGCTTTTTAATTTAGAAAGCAAACAACAAAAATCAACGTTATGTTTGCAAATTTTCGCGGGACGAGTTTCGATGCCTTTACCGAATCCTCACCGTCAGCTGCCAAAGTGCAAATTAACAAGATAAAATATAGGGAAAATATAATAAGACAAGATAAGAATGGCTGAACTACTGGATAAGATTAGAACTACTGGCGCCATCTATTGATAAAACAAGAGACCTAAAACATTATTTCCCCATGGGGACGGTAAACTTTTAAAATAGCTAAAAATCAACCAAAATATTGAATTTGTTTTTTTACTATTATAGTATTCCATATAAGTAAATACATCTTATGCAAATCATACAAAAAACAGAGTTCAAATATTCTAATTTTTAAAGAAGTTACAAGGCATTTAAAATGTGTAAACAAAGTAAACTTTGCATTTTAAATTTTGGAGAAAATTTTAAAAAATGTATTTCAACAGTTATTTACTAATGTAATAACTTGTATATTTGCTAAAACGAAGTACTTATTTCTAAAGAAAAGGTTAGAAATGTTAATATTGACAACTATTAATTGAATTTAACTTTAATTATGTGAATGCTATACACATAGAAGAGGAGGAAACAAACTTGTTGTAAAAAAGCGTGCTCAACGTCGCTTCAAACAAAGGCAAAAAGAGAAGTTTACCTGAAAAAAAAAAAAATACTAAAAAATATTGCACAGCATTAAAGGATAATGCAAATGTAACAAATGAAGGTAAAACATATGAAGTGAGTGAATTTTATATATTCATATGAAATTCATTGGATATAATGCGTAAATTGTTTCTACCTCTAACTTCCAATTACATACCAAGTTGCAACATGTTTATTTTTCTCATATTTAATATTATGAGATTTAAAATAGGTAAATAATATGAAAATGTTATCTAGTGTCTACATATTCATATTTAAAGTTAATTGGTTGTTTCTCATGTCATGTATGAAGGTAAGTTTGCAGAAAAATTTTAAATTCGGTTTTCTCAAAACAATTTTTTTTTTTTTTGCAGTTCGCATGTCTTGAAAATGCTCCATGCGTCATGATATTTGGCAGAAACTATCTTGTTATACAGTAGATACTATCTTGTGTATACTGTCTTGTCATACAGTTATATTGCAGTAGATCTGTGTATGCATTTTTGGATATAATGTTATTAAGAAGTTTAAACTTGCGATAATGTTTAACAAAAGGTGACATTTTTCAGGAAACTGGGTTTACTTTTACAAAAATCTTTTTTAAAAATTTTTGATCCATCATATTTAATAACGGATGCACAAAAACTTTTGTAAAGTCTTTATAACTTAAAGGAAAACTTAGGAAACATTATTGAAAATTAGCGCTCAAGGAGCATTTTAAATATTGAATTAAAATAATTATTTGTTTTAAAAATTTTTAATTTAAAATAAATTTAAATTTTGAACATATATTTTATAAACTGATGTTATAATACGTACATGTATAAAATTTCTTGTTGAAAACACCAAAACTTTAAAAACTAATTTTTAAAGTTCACCGTCCCCTTAAAGGCTGAATATAAAGATTCCCCTAGTGTAACAAATGAACGTCCGCTACTTGGGATAATTGAAATTAACATAAGATACCGTTCAAATTCAGATGTAAATGATATCGCCGAAGAGTACAAAAATCAACTACTGAAAGTGGCTCAGATGTTTAACACAGTGCCTTTAAAACGTCGGCTAGTAAAACGCTAAACCCGGAATACAACTTAGACAGAGCTGGTGATAGTAAGAAACAGTAAGACGCGGCTGCCAGAAACTCTCATCTAAACGTTCAAAACCCTCGCCTTAAATATAACTAATTCGTTTTTGATGAGTTCTACGGAAGGAAAAGTTAGAGTAGATTTTAAAATCATAATGATTGATTAATTAATATATTGTTGCGTTCTACGGGTTCGTGGAATTTGGAGTGATTAACGTTACTAAGATGAACTCTGCTTGACGAGCTTGATGAAGAATGAAAACACACTTTATTCGACAGTATTACACTGGAGAGTTCCACAGACACGTTTACAGCTGTCGAAAATCTACGACAAACGCAGTGAAAGATTCAGCAACACAGACTTCAGACTATCAGGCTGTAACGGTGAAGACAGCTTCTAGGCAGAACTGCTCCGGATCGCTCGGTCGATCGCTCTCGGAGCTCAACACATTCTTACGATAAAACTCACGATGCACTGCTACTCCGCGTACAGGCAGGGTTTATATAGCTTTTGACCTGCCTTCGAGAACATTCTGGGGGAAATCGGTAAGAATTCGCTCTAGAATGTTTTCCATCCGTCTATGGTATATCGCCTTTTTGGCGACAAATGGCCGATTTCGGACCAAATCTGGTAACCCTCCATGGCATTTTCTGGTAACCCTAAACCCGCTTTGTGGAAAAGTTACCTTACCGCCGGACATCTCGTAGCAATACAGTTTCAAAGTTTATACTGTTTTCAAAGTTTGGATCTGCAGAAGGCAGTGTTTGCCGAAGCTTTCTAATAAGTTTCTATTTGTTTGCTTTTGAAACTTTGTCGTCGATGGCTCTTGTTTTGTCTTCAGTTTTAAAAGCTGAAGCTCTGTTATTTTCCTTAAGAATTTAAGCTTTAGTTTTGACTCTGATGTCTTCGTATTTTATATATTTGCAGCCATAAGAAAAAAAGAAATTTTTGTTTTCGAAACGCCAGTTTTTTTAGCCCGGTAAATAAATAGCATTCTTATTTAAGTCGGCAACACATCAGGAACAGTACATCGCCAGATAAGTTTGCCGAAAGCCGGAGTCTGTGTTGACTAATGTTATTTTTTTATTACTTTGCCGTTTGTTAAATTTACGAGCTATAAGACAGATTCGGATGATTTATCCCGGACTTAATTCAACCGTGAACAGATTAAATATATTTAGATAACTGAAGCTAAATAGTTCCTATTTTATCTGAGTGGTAGCAAATCACCAGAAATGTCTTTGGGTTAAAATAGATGTCGTTTTGCCAGCAGCTTAGTAAAGTTTGCTAGCTTTAGGGTGGCTCACATTTGTTTTTGGAAAATCGTATTTTTGAAATCGGTTTTCATTGGTTTTGCACTAAATATTGAAACGCGGACTCCAAATGCTTTTGGTGATACGTTATATTTTCTGTATTTTAAACCTTCCCTGCTACAAAATATATCTCATTAAAATATTTCTTGTAATAAACTAATTTGTTGCCGCTCTAACGGAATAATACCGTTTTCAAAACACAGGGGGCGGCAGAGAAACTACTTCATTTTAAAAATGAATAACACAAATAGTATACGCGATATCAGTTTAATGTTTTTCAAGTTATAGAGAGATACTTAAATTTTTTTATTATTACGGTTATAATATTATTAAGGTGGCCTCCGTTCCGGTCAATGCATTGATATCGTCGAGTTTTGAAGTTTCTTTCCACTTTTACCAGCATATCAACGGGTATGTTGTAGCTAGCAGCTTGAATATTGTCTTCAGTTGAGCCAAGGTCTTTGGTGGTGTGGTGTGGTGTATTTAATCATGGCAAAGCACACTAGGGCTCTCTGCCTAAGGGGAGGGATGCCTTCATGGAGGACTTTCTAAGGGAAAATGGCTCGTATACACGTTACACACGGGAAAAACCACGAAAACACCCATGCAGCCAGCCCGTTCGCAGGATTCGAACCTCGGACCGAACTAGCAGTGTTCAGCGACTTTACCGCTCGGCCGCTGGTGGGCCCAGGGTCTTTGGACGTTAAAGCTTTCATATAGCCCCACAAAAAGAAATCGCATGGGGCTAAATCAGGTGAGCGTGCTGGCCACTGACAATCACCTCGTACGGAAATAAGGCTTCCAGGGAAATGTTCTCCAAAAACTCCTGGTCCAATGATGCCTATTCTGGACAGTGCACACCAAACAGTCCCACGTTCTGTATGGAGGGACTGTTCATGAAATTCTCGGGGATTCGTGCCACTCAATTATTGCATGTTTTGCTTAATGCATGCTGCAATCGGAAAGATGTAAATGAGCCTGATCGCTAAAGAACACAAGGGCATCATGAGGCGTATTGTCAAGAACGGCTTTGCATGCATTTTTTCGTGAAAGAAAATCGCGTGGATTAAGTTTTTGCATCATGCCAATTTTATATGAATGGAAATACAGTACGTTGAAAAGTACGACTCCACGGAGAACGAGCGCTCCTCTTTCGTCCACTGCGCATGATCAGTACTAAACCTACTACATGACATAAAACTTTAGGTACCGCTCTTTTCAATGAGTGCCACCCCATCCTTCTCGGAATAAATGTCACTAGATGGCGTGCCTTTCAAATAAGGAAGTTTCCCTTCCACACCCTGTACATGTTTCTATTTTACCTCTTTATAAACTAATGTAAGAAATAGGATGTTCATACATTCTTGTAACGATTTTGCAAAGATTTATACAAGAGAAAAACCTTGGAATTTTATTTTTTAATATCTTCAATCTGATAGCCATTTTACTGAACTATCGTATTACAGTCACCCCTCCTTCATAGTCTTCCACAGTCCATCTAATGTTTTGGGATGCCAATTATACAGAGCTTGTTTTAAAAGTCCAAATGCCCCGTAATCCATAGAAGACACATCAGGGGACTTAGGTGGGTTACATTTAAAAGGCATAGCTTCCATTCCGGTTTCATTTCTCATTTTTTCAAAAAAATAAAGCAGTAGATTTAGAGGTACGGGCCGGTGTCTTGTCCTGACGGAACTTAACACAGTGTAGATTGTT